ATTGATTATGGCAGAGGCAGGGGAGAGAATTAAGGACAACTTCTATTTTCTGAGTGATAGTTTTTATATTATCTAAAATTTTTTTTTCTAAGAAGAATACATTGTTTCAAGTAAAACAGGAAGATTTTAAAAAATTGTTTCATGAACTGTAAAGTTCCAAAATATATCCATCTTTATTCCTACACGGGATGATCCTCAATTCCATCAACGGCAGCCAGGTGGAATTCCTGTCCACTGCGTGAAAGGCGCTCCCACGTCTTAACTGTTTCCAGTGAGAGAACAGATACGCACAGAGGATCTAAAATGTCAATCACCAACCCTGGCACACTGTTATCTTTTAAGCAGTGACATTTGAGTTTTGCAATATCTTAATTTCTTGGCTGTAATAATAGTAATAAAATCGATAATGCTTGTAAGCAATGGCCCATCCCAGACTGTAAAGAAGATAGCAGTTCAAAGGAGAATCTTCGCTAAGACTTGACAGCATCCAGTTTCAGATCCTGAGAGATTTAGGCCCAAACTAAGCCTCCAAAACTCTACCATGGGGCAACCTAAATGATTCGGAGAGAAAAATGCAGATGTGGAGAGAGGTGAGGAATGAAGCTTAGACAAGAGCCAACATAGCGTAATTGGTCACAAAAATCAATGACAATGCAGAAAAACCTGCCATAATTTTTCCTGCCAAAAAATTACATATACAGGAATGTAAAATGGCGCAGCTGCTTTGGAAAACACCACGGCAGCTCCTCAAACTCTAAACATAGAGTTATCACGTGACCCAGCAATTCCACTCGTTGGTACACACCCAAAAGAACTGAAACAGGAATCCAAATACTTGCACATCAATGTCCATAGCAACATTATAGCCAAAAAGTGGAAATACCCCAAACGTCCATCAACCGATGAATGCATAAATATTGCTCACCCACACAATAGAATATTGCTCAGCAATAGAAGACTGAAGTACTGACACATGCTACAACATGGACAGACCTTGAAAACACTGGGCCAAATGAAAGAAGTCAGGCACAAAGACCACATATTGTATGGTTCCATCTACATAAAATGTCCAGAATAGGTAAATCCACAGGACTAAGGAGTAGATTAGTGATTTCCAGGAGATGGGTCAAAGGAGAATGTGGAGTGACTGCTAATGGGGGTGGAGTTTCTTTTTGGGGTGACAAAATGTCCTGGAATTTGATGGTGGCAATGGTTGCACAACTTTGTGAATATACTAAAAACCACTAAATCATACACTTTAAAATTGTGAATTTGATGATATGTAAATTGTATTGCAACAAGAAAAAAAAAAACCCACAGCAGAATATCTGAACAAAGAAGCCACAGTCAGAGACCGTGACTGAAGCCGGCCCAGCCACCCTGGTTTAAAACAATAAGGCTCTAAATGCTCAAGTTATGATCCTTAAAAAAATTTTTT